AGTAGTTGGTTCAAAGCCAAGGTCAGATGCCGGGTGGAGATTGGAGCAGATGTAGTCAATAAGATAGCCGGGGTCATACACAGGAGAGTGAGTGAGAATATCTATTAGCCAAGCCGAGGTCAGATCAGGAGAGCAGATGAGAATATCTATTAGCCAAGCCAGGGTCAGATCAGGATAGCAGATGAGAATATCTATTAGCCAAGCCGAGTCAGATCAGGAGAGCAGGTGAGAATATCTATTAGCCAAGCCAGGGTCAGATCAGGAGAGCAGATGAGAATATCTATTAGCCAAGCCGGGTCGGATCAGGAGAGCAGGTGAGAATATCCGTTAGCCAAGCCGAAGTCAGATCAGGAGAGCAGATGAGAATATCAATTAGCCAAGCCAAGGTCAGATCTGGAGAGCAGGTGAGAATATCAATTAGCCAAGCCAAGGTCAGATCTGGAGAGCAGGTGAGAATATCTATTGGCCAAGCCAGGGTCAGATCAGGAGAGCAGGTGAGAATATCTATTAGCCAAGCCAGGGTCAGATCAGGAGAGCAGGTGAGAATATCTATTGGCCAAGCTGTGGTCAGATCAGGAGAGCAGGTGAGAATATCTATTAGCCAAGCCGAGGTCAGATCAGGAGTCAGGCAGAGAAGACAGGTCCAAGAACAAGCCAAATTGGTAACAAGAGATCACAGTAGCAAGGGAACACGAACAAAGGTACCGGGGAGCCAGAGATCAACCAGCAATTTGAGGGAGTGATGGGCTTCCTTATGAAGGCCGCCTGGCGACAAACTGAGCTAATGCGTGCATAACTATGCGCCAGTGCTCATGCGTGTTCTGCCTCACGCTCATGCACCAATATGCATAGAATTCCCAGCGTGCATTTCTGCGGCCATGCAAGGTACTGGCAGGAATGCCAGATCTCCGAGTACCTCTGCTGTGGACAGAGCCCTTATCAGCTTTATGATAAGGAATACTTGCTGTTTTTGAAGGTAGAGGTGACAGGTTTGATCTGCCACAGCATTTCAATGGCTTGGTCAGTCTTAAATAGGGATTTTTTTTTTCTTCTTTTGAGTCAGCCTGTTGTTAAAATAAATCCCATGCTGTGGATTATTGTCAAATTGCAGGTCAACAAGAGCTCAACATCTTAGAAGTATTATATCATGGGCAGAAGTAGTAATGTCCTCCTGTTGAACTTCTTTCCAACTAGGGATTTCATGTGCTGTCGGTCTTTGTCTCCATACAGATGCCAAGGGTGGAAAGCTGCCCCATACTATTACGCTCCCTCCACAAAGCTTCACAGTTGGGATGAAGCTTTGGTGAGCAGTGTGGAGCATCTAAGTAGTCTGCAATGAATCTGTATAGGCATCATTTCGAGAATAGACTGCTGAGAACAGATGTTATGAGATGCCTGCAGGGGCGGACTGACAACTCATGGGGCCCCCGGGCAATAGGGGATCATGGGTCCCCTGTGTCCTTGCCCAAACTCAAAAAAGCCTATGAAAAAGGTACCAGGGGCATCTCATGGGGCCTCCTACTGACCCCGGGCCCTTGGGCAGTGCCCGAGTTTCCAAATGGTCAGTCCGCCCCTGGATGCCTGTATATCTTTAGCTGTCTCCTTAGGCTTCTTGGGGACTGTACTGTGTGCCAACAGGACTTTAAACCTATATTACCACAGCAAAAAAATGAATATCAATAAAATCAATCAAAAAATTTTAATTATTCAATCATCAGTGAAAAAAAAAAATTATTTTACAGTGAATCAAATATAAATATATGAGAAAAAAAAATATGTGAAAAAAGTCCACTGTCCCAAATCAATTGTGAAGAAATAGTTCTTCGATTCAATATATATATTGAATACGGCCAAAATTGTAGTATTTCAAATATATGTCAATATATTTTGGAAGAATATTTTTTAAATATAATACATTTTTCTTCCATATGGGTAGCTGTGATTGGTCACAGTGATCACATCTACAGACTAGGCTAATCAGCCCATCTGTGTCATGCAGAGGGGCGGACTGACCATTTGGAAACTCGGGCACTGCTCGAGGGCCCAGGGTCAGTAGGGGGCCCCATAAGATGCCCCTGGTACCTTTTTCATAGGCTTTTTTTGAGTTTGGGCAAGGACACAGGGGCCCCATGATCCACTATTGCCCGGGGGCCAGGGGCGGACTGACCATTTGGAAACTCGGGCACTGCCCGAGGGCTCGGGGTCAGTAGGGGCCCCATGAGATGCCCCTGGTAACTTTTTCATAGGCTGTTTTGAGTTTGGGCAAGGACACAGGGGCCCCATGATCCACTATTGCCCGGGGACCAGGGGCGGACTGACCATTTGGAGATTCAGGCACTGCCCGAGGGCCCGGGGTCAGTAGGGGGCCCCATGAGATGCCCCTGGTAACTTTTTCATAGGCTTTTTTGAGTTTGGGCAAGGACACAGGGGCCCCATGATCCCCTATTGCCTGGGGGCCCCCTGAGTTGTCAGTCCGCTCCTGCCGGGGGCCCCATGAGTTGTCAGTCTGCCCCTGGTCATGCAATTAGCAATGGCCAATCACAGCTAATCACAACAAAACAACCTGAAAGAATCCACTTCAGCTTGCGTATAGCAAAGAAATTCAATGCTATAAGCATTCATAGTAAAAAAAAAAAAATACTGATCACTTCCCCAGAGTAGTACGATTTTACTATGATAACATTATACTACTTTGGTCACAGTGTGTTACAAAAAAAAAATCGCTAAAAAAAAAGAAAAAAATGTAAGAAAAAATTATTTAAAACATCTTTTTAAAAATTGAAAAAAAAAAATATTTTTTTTTTGTACTGTCGCCAGTCAGTGTCCCTGATCACGCCACCATCACGTCATCAGTTACACGATGACGCTGTACTGCACTGGTGACAGTATGTAAAAGAAAAAAAAAAAATTATTTTTTTTCATTTTTTTAATTTTCAAAAAAACATGACAAAAAAAATTACAACTTTTTAAAAAACTCGCCATGCCTCTCTGTATTCCAGAGAGGCATGGCGAGTTTTTTAAAGTTGTAATTTTTTTTGTCATAGTTTTTTTGAAATTTAAAAAATGAAAAAAAAAATAATTTTTTCATTTTTTGGTAAGGTAACACCTTACCAAAAAAATATATAGATTGGATGAAAATATGAAATTGCTCGGTACAAAGTATCGGAAAATCATGGCAAATGTCAATACAACATACTCAAAGTATTATGTAACAAAATATTTTTTTTACAAATGGGAAACCTTTGGCAGAGTTTCTGTTCCCCACTAATCAGCCTTCTGTTCTCTAGTAGCTCCCCACCCCTCCCCCATCCTCTTTTCTGGGCCAATGTTCCATTTAAAAGTCCCCATCTCTGTCTTATCTACGTGATTACTGAGCAAGAACGGACATCCTCTGTAGCAGAGATCCATTGGCTGAACAGGAAACTACAATTCCTGGCGACGTATCAACAATTATCTGCTTGATATTAATAATTTCCTCTCTAGCTCACCTAAGTGGCGCTACTGGAGAAGTTTTCCTGTTTATTGAAATAGTTGTTTAGATGGCGGCGAGTTGGGTTTTTTCCATGATATCTGCCGCTCTCCTACTCAAGACAAAGTGGCCTTTCCAAGTAGGCCACTGGAATATATTTACCAATCCAATTACTTTCCCAGTGCCAAGAGATTAGTAAAATGAAATCTGTATTTTTTACGAACATATCGGGGGTCTCCAAACGTTCTAAACAAAGGGCCAATTTAGTCCAGTCTGGGGCCAGTGTGAGTAGAAAATGCACTGGTTTCAAGGGGAGTAAACAATGCCCCATCATAGGTGTCAGTGGGAGGAATAGTGCCCCATCATTGGTATCAGTGGGAGGAATAGTGCCCCATCATTGGTATCAGTGGGAGGAATAGTGCCCCATCATTGGTGTCAGTGGGAGGAATAGTGCCCCATCATTGGTGTCAGTGGGAGGAATAGTGCCCCATCATAGGTGTCAGTGGGAGGAATAGTGCCCCATCATTGGTGTCAGTGGGAGGAATAGTGCCCCATCATTGGTATCAGTGAGAGGAATAGTGCCCCATCATTGATATCAGTGGGAGGAATAGTGCCCCATCATTGGTATCGGTGGGAGGAATAATGCCCCATCATTGGTATCAGTGGGAGGAATAGTGCCCCATCATTGGTATCAGTGGGAGGAATAGTGCCCCATCATTGGTATCGGTGGGAGGAATAGTGCCCCATCATTGATGTCAGTGGGGGGAGAGAGGAATAGTGTCCCATCATTGGTATCAGTGGGAGGAATAATGCCCCATCATTGGTATCAGTGGGAGGAACAGTGCCCCATCATTGGTATCAGTGGAAGGAATAGTGCCCCATCATTGGTATCAGTGGGAGGAATAGTGCCCCATCATTGGTGTCAGTGGGAGGAATAGTGCCCCATCATTGGTGCCAATGGGAGGAAAAGTGCCCCATCATTGGTATCAGTGGAAGGAAAAGTGCCCCATCATTGGTGTCAGTGGGAGGAATAGTGTCCCATCATTGATGTCAGTGGGAGGAATAGTGCCCCATGTTTGGTAACATTGGAATGTGTAGTGCTCTGTTGTTGGTGTCAGTGGGAGGAATAGTGCCCCATCATTGGTATCAGTGGGAGGAATAGTGCCCCATCATTGGTGCCAATGGGAGGAATAGTGCCCCCATCATTGGTGCCAATGGGAGGAATAGTGCCCCATCATTGGTGTCAGTGGGAGGAATAGTGCCCCATCATTGATATCAGTGGGAGGAATAGTGTCAACATTTTGGAAATTGTTCTTGTGTTCATTGAGATATTGATTTAAATCTTACTTTTCAAAAGAGGTGTACTCATTTAAGCTGAGCACTGTGTATATACTATATATATATATATAATATAGTTTTTTTTTTGTTTTTTTTTTAATATCTGAGTACTTGTCAGAAAGCGATGATATTATATGATATGAGATTACATTATATTACATTTGTATTAATTTTCTGTTTGTCTATTTTGTAGTGGCTGCTGTGGGAAAATCAGGTAAGTGAACATTCCTTTTTTTAGCCTGAAGAAGAGGCCAGAGTGCCTCAACGGCTTTCATTGCAACACGTTTATTCAGGCAATAAGTGGTGTCACCCTAAATCAAAACTTCTACTTTTGTTTTGTTTTTTTAATGTTTTAATAGCTTTTTTCACGTAAATCTAGTGCAAATCGAATTGAATTTCTATACTTTAGGAACTGCAAATTCTTATTTATGATACAGATAAACTGTAATGGTTCGGGGTCATTTTTTTTTAAAAATGTGTACATACTTACAATGATGTTTTGTTTTGTTTTGTTTTTTTTTTTTTTTTTTTGGTTTTTTACTATTTAAAAAAAGACTCATGCCTTACAGAGCATTATGGTTCTTCTAAAGAGAAATCACAAGTGGTTTACCTTCAGACTTTCTCTCTATAATTAAAAATTCATATTTTTGTAGACATCTCTCTGATTATCTGTCGTACTGTAAGATTAGCTGGATTGTAATCTACGCTCACCGGTCACTTTACCGGGGTATGTGTACAATCCTGTCCGGTCACTTTACCGGGGTGTGTGTACAATCCTGTCCGGTCACTTTACCGGGGTATGTGTACAATCCTGTCCGGTCACTTTACCTGGGTGTGTGTACAATCCTGTCCGGTCACTTTACCGGGGTATGTGTACAATCCTGTCCGGTCACTTTACCGGGGTGTGTGTACAATCCTGTCCGGTCACCTTACGGGGTATGTGTACAATCCTGTCCGGTCACCTTACCGGGGTATGTGTACAATCCTGTCCGGTCACTTTACCGGGGTGTGTGTACAATCCTGTCCGGTCACTTTACCGGGGTATGTGTACAATCCTGTCCGGTCACTTTACCTGGGTATGTGTACAATCCTGTCCGGTCACTTTACCGGGGTGTGTGTACAATCCTGTCCGGTCACTTTACCGGGGTGTGTGTACAATCCTGTCCGGTCACTTTACCGGGGTGTGTGTACAATCCTGTCCGGTCACCTTACCGGGGTATGTGTACAATCCTGTCCGGTCACTTTACCGGGGTGTGTGTACAATCCTGTCCGGTCACCTTACCGGGGTGTGTGTACAATCCTGTCCGGTCACCTTACCGGGGTATGTGTACAATCCTGTCCGGTCACTTTACCGGGGTGTGTGTACAATCCTGTCCGGTCACTTTACCTGGGTATGTGTACAATCCTGTCCGGTCACTTTACCGGGGTATGTGTACAATCCTGTCCGGTCACTTTACCAGGGTATGTGTACAATCCTGTCCGGTCACTTTACCAGGGTATGTGTACAATCCTGTCCGGTCACTTTACCGGGGTATGTGTACAATCCTGTCCGGTCACTTTACCGGGGTATGTGTACAATCCTGTCCGGTCACTTTACCGGGGTATGTGTACAATCCTGTCCGGTCACTTTACCGGGATATGTGTACAATCCTGTCCGGTCACCTTACCGGGGTATGTGTACAATCCTGTCCGGTCACTTTACCGGGGTATGTGTACAATCCTGTCCAGTCACTTTACCGGGGTATGTATACAATCCTGTCCGGTCACTTTACCGGGGTATGTGTACAATCCTGTCCGGTCACTTTACCGGGGTATGTGTACAATCCTGTCCGGTCACTTTACCGGGGTATGTGTACAATCCTGTCTGGCCACCGTTGCAGTTTAAGGAGAGTTGTCAAGGGCTGGTATAACTGTAGCTCAACCACCTGTTTTTACTGCCCTCCCTAAAAAATGTTTATTGATTTTGCCAGAAACCTTGAGGGCTGCGAGTTACTCTGCACTCTGCTGTGTTATCTCAGCGGTGTTATCAGCTTTTGCCCTGGTTACCTCTGTGAACTACAAAACATCTCCCCACCATGTTACCAGGAACAGGATAGGGGGAGGTATTCTGTATTCCTAGGACATCTCGCTGTTCTTGGGTGACAACACTGCTCCTCCAAAGATACAGAACAAGGCGGGAGAGTTGTCACCCTAGGAGAGGGGGTGCCTGGTAAGCTGATATATATTGCAATATTTGTTCTTGGGTTTAGATACCCTTTAATCCATATCTAGCTCCAAGGGAGTATCTAGAGTTTAGAGACTCGGGGGGGGGGGGGAGAGAGAGTAATAAAACAGAGTTCAGGAGTGGTCTGGAAGAATGTCCCTTATATCGGAGGTCAGTGGGAAGAATGTCCCTTACATTGGGGGTCAGTGGGAAGAATGTCCCTTACATTGGTGTCAGTGGGAAGAATGCCCCTTACATTGGTGGTCAGTGGGAAGAATGCCCCTTACATTGGTGGTCAGTGAGAAGAATGCTCCTTACATTGGTGATCAGTGGGAAGAATGCTCCTTACATTGGGGGTCAGTGAGAAGAATGCCCCTTACGTTGGGAGTCAGTGAGAAGAATGTCCCTTACGTTGGTGGTCAGTGGTAAGAATGTCCCTTACATTGGTGGTCAGTGGGAAGAATGTCCCTTACATTGGTGGTCAGTGGGAAGAATGTCCCTTACATTGGTGATCAGTGGGAAGAATGTCCCTTACATTGGTGATCAGTGGGAAGAATGTCTCTTACGTTGGAGGTCAGTGGGAAGAATGTCCCTTACATTGGAGGTCAGTGGGAAGAATGTCCCTTACATTGGAGGTCAGTGGGAAGAATGTCCCTTACATTGGAGGTCAGTGGGAAGAATGTCCCTTACATTGGAGGTCAGTGGGAAGAATGTCCCTTACATTGGAGGTCAGTGGGAAGAATGACCCTTACATTGGTGGTCAGTGGGAAGAATGATCCTTACATTAGTGGTCAGTGGGAAGAATGACCCTTATATTGGTGGTCAGTGGGAAGAATGTTCCTTACATTGGTGATCAGTGGGAAGATTGATCCTTACAATGGTGGTCAATGGGAAGAATGTCCCTTACATTGGTGGACAAGTGGAACAATGTTCCTTACATTGGTGGTCAGTGGGAAGAATGATCCTTATATTGGGGGTCAGTGGGAAGAATGATCCTTATATTGGTACTCAGTGGGAAGAATGTCCCTTATATTGGTGGTCAGTGGGAAGAATGTCCCTTACATTGTGGTCAGTGGGAAGAATGACCCTTATATTGGTGGTCAGTGGGAAGAATGACCCTTATATTGGTGGTCAGTGGGAAGAATGACCCTTACATTGGTGGTCAAGTGGAAGAATGTCCCTAACATTGGGGGTCAGTGGGAAGAATGACCCTTACATTGGTGGTCAAGTGGAAGAATGTTCCATACATTGGGGGTCAGTGGGAAGTATGTTCCTTACATTGGTAGGCAGTGGAAAGAATGCTCCTTACTGGTCCTATAAATTAAATCTTCTCTAGCTAGCTGCTGGTTGGGAGAATATTGATGGAACTAAGGAGTGCAGCTAAAACACAAATGAAAACCATTACAGATAGGCAACAGCAATTATGGGATGATTGGGCTCGGGGGTAGGTGGGTATTTTTTCCCAGGGCTGTACAAAACTACATGTTGGGCTGGTGGCCCTGAGTGGAGATCCTCTCCCATTCAGACCTCACTCAAAGTGGAACCTGCAGTCAGTGACAGGTGCTGGGCCTGGATGGCATATTGCTTTCTGCTGCCTGTTCAGACCCTGCCATCAAAGGGCCAGATGGTTGTGTTGGCCAACCCAGCCGAACATTTCCAGTCCTCCCCTGATTATATCTGTTGAAAAATATTGTAACAAAATGTCTTCTTGACAAATAACCCATGTTATGTGCTATTTTGTAGGATCTGCAGCAAGGCCTGTGTTGAAATTCAGGCCAAACTATAGTCCGATCTTCAATGGAGAGAAAATTCAAATGACCTGTGAATCCCAGTCTAAGGAGGACTATGACTGGTTCTTTAACAATGTAAGGATATCTAAAGGTAATAACTATCAAATCGAAAGTGCTGATAGCGGGAAGAGCGGAAATTACCAGTGCGGGACCTCAGATGGTAGCAAAAGTGAGATGGTCACTCTGAATGTGACTGAAGGTGAGTTCATACAACATGCCATTGAGTTATTGTACTTATTGTCACACTACTACCAGCCGTAACCTCCGCAACCTTAACCCTGCCTCCCTCCACTCTGCAGCTGATCAACTCCACGACCGCATCCTCCCCCTGTCCTGCCCCGACTTGACTTTGACCGCCTACAACAATGCGCTCTCAACAGCCCTTGACTCACTAGCGCCTTTAACCACACGCAACATCAGACCCCGACCGCTCCAGCCCTGGCAGACTGATCACACCAAAACCCTCAAACGACAAAGTCGTGCCCTGGAGCGACTATGGCGCAAAACCAAATCCCAACAAGCCTTCACCCGCTATAAATCTGCCTTCCGCACCTACACCTCCTCCCTCCATGCTGCCAAACAGGCCTACTTCTTGACCCTCATCAAGGCCCTCTCCTCCAATCCTCGCCGACTCTTCTCTGCCCTCAGCTCTCTACTCTCTCCACCCCCACCTCCACCCAGCACCTCACTCACTGCCCTTGAGATTGCCAATCACTTCAAAAACAAGATTGACACAATTCGCAAGGACATTGCAGCAACTCACACGCCCTCTCAACCCGTCCCCTCTCACACAGCTACCCCCTTATCCCCCCTCCCCCTCGACATAACCCGCAGGGACTTCGTCGCTGCTCAAACTCTCTCCAACCCCCTTCACCCTCACTCAGCTACCCCCTCATCACCCCTCTCCCACGGCCCCACCACTGCTCTGACCTCCTCTTCCACCCCACCCTACATTCCTCATACTGAAGCTCCCCCCACACTCCGCACCTTTGACCTTACTACCATTGAGGAAGTCTCCAAGATCCTCTCTGATGCCCACCTAACCACCTGCCCCCTCGACCCTATCCCCTCACAACTCCTACGACCTTCCTCCTCCTCCATCCTACGCTCCCTCACCCACATCTTCAATCTCTCCCTCTCCTCAGGCACTTTCCCCTCCCCTCTGAAACATGCACACATCACCCCCATACTTAAAAAGACCTCCCTGGACTCCAATGACCCGAACAACCTCAGACCCATCTCCCTGCTCCCATTTACATCTAAACTCCTCGAGCGCCTAGTCTACACCCGCCTATGCTCTCACCTCAACGACAACAACCTCCTCGATCCCCTACAGTCTGGCTTCCGTCCCCTACACTCCACCGAAACTGCCTTACTCAAACTCTCCAACGACCTGCTAACCGCCAAAGCTAATGGCCACTATTCAGTGCTCCTACTCCTTGACCTCTCTGCTGCCTTCGACACAGTTGACCACCCCCTCCTCCTCAAAAAACTACACTCCCTCGGCCTCAGAGATTCTGCTCTCTCCTGGCTCTCATCCTACCTGTCACAACGCTCTTTCAGCATTACCTATAATGCTACCACCTCCCCCTCACTCCCCCTCTCTGTTGGGGTCCCTCAAGGCTCTGTCCTCGGGCCCCTTCTCTTCTCCATCTATACCTCCTCCCTTGGCCAACTCATACACTCTCACGGCTTCAACTACCACCTCTATGCCGACGACACACAAATCTATCTCTCAACCCCCCACCTCACCCCCTTGGTCTCAGCCCGAATCACACACCTACTGAGCGACATATCAGACTGGATGTCGCTCCACTTCCTTAAATTGAACCTCTCCAAAACCGAGTTTCTTGTCTTCCCCCCAGCCCGGACACCACCCCCCATTGATTTCTCCGTCACGTCCAACAACGCCACCATCAAACCCGCCCTGCAGGCCAGAGTACTTGGGGTGTCATTCTGGACTCCAACCTATCCTTCCAGCCCCAAGTCCAATCTTTAACAAACTCGTGCAGACTCCACCTCCGCAACATCGCCAAAATCCGCACGTTCCTAACCCCAGAAACCACTAAACAGCTCATCCACTCCCTCATCATATCACGACTCGACTACTGCAACTCCCTCCTCACTGGCCTGCCTCGCCGCTGGCTATCCCCGCTTCAGTCGATCCTGAATACGGCTGCCAGACTCATTCACCTTTCCAACCGCTCCGTTTCCTCCACCCCCCTCTGCCAATCCCTCCACTGGCTTCCGATTGCGCAACGGATCAAATTCAAAATCCTAACGCTGACGTACAAAGCTGTCCACCATACTGCCCCGAACTACATCACTGACCTAATATCCAAGTACCGCCCAACACGCACACTCCGCTCCTCACAAGACCTCCTTCTCTCTAGTTCCCTGATCTCCTCCTCCCATGCCCGCCTCCAGGACTTCTCCAGGGTGTCACCCATCCTCTGGAACTCCCTGCCCCAACCAATCAGATTATCACCTACTCTCCTCTCCTTTAGGCGCACCCTGAAAACCCATCTCTTCAGGGAAGCCTACCCCACCCCCTGCTAACTTGCCGACCTCCTCCACTCTTCCTACCACTCCATCCCCCACAGCTATCTCCTCCTGTGCCACCATCCCCTCCCTCCTAGATTGTAAGCTCGAAAGAGCAGGGCCCTCGATCCCCTCATGTTTTGCATTGTATTGGTATTGTTCTGTCACATGTTCTGTCCCCCTTTGTAATGTACAGCGCTGAGCGAACTATTGGCGCTTTATAAATACTGTATAATAATAATAATAATAATAATATTGCCATTTTAGTTGTCGCTAACATATTACTAGGTCATAGAAGAACATCTTCAGTGCAGGGGAAGCCCTGAGCTCTGGTTGGGCAACCATATATGTGGCACGGTGAGTAACAAGATGCGCCTTAGTGCCAATTGTGCAAGGCTGACCTCAGCCAAATGCCATGAAATCTGGCAAGTTCAGGCCATGCTGACCACACCACTTGTGATGAAGGTCTGGAGTCACCCGAAAAGTTATTATTTCATGTTGCCCACCAGTACTGTAGAAGTGCTACTTGGTGGTATATTTTGTCATTGACAAGTACAATATGCCATTGACTGATATAGTCCGCTCTTTTATGATATTACTTGCTATTGTCCTGGGATATGCTTGTAGGCAGGTGCAGTCTCTTTTTTCCTCTTTAGGTGGCGCTCAACCGTGGCGGCACTGCAGAAGGAGAGGAAGTCAAGAGGAAAATATTCCTCTATGGTTTCCTGGGTAACTGGGGAAGCAATCCAGTTGGATGCTGCCACCCCATGTGACTCTGGCAGCCATCTTGGGTCAGATAGAGCCTATTTTAGACCCTGGCTCCCAGGCTTGGTGCACATTTTGTGAGTGGACATAGAGACAGGTTTCCTATTTGTCAGGGAAAGTTGATGGCAGAAAGGAAAGGTTACGGACGAGTAAGGGAAGGCTATCCTTCTTAGGAATCCTTCCCCATTGGGCTCAGGCTGGCCAGGCCACATTCCATCCTCGAAGACAGATGCTGTCGGTGCATCAGAACCTGATCCACTCTAAATTTTTGCACAGAACTGTAAGTGTCCCCCTTCTCACTGGCCTGTTTGTATCTTTGAGCCGTTCCTTCAATACATGTTTGTTAATTGGCACCGCACTACGCTGCACCACATACTCATGATGAGGGGCAGCATGGTGTATACAGCATGGCTGCCCAACTGTTGTGAAGGGTGTTTTCTTCACCAGGGAAAGAATTCTTCGGTCATCCACCACAGTTGTTTTCCGTGGTCTTCCGGATCTTTTGGTGTTGCTGAGCTCACCGCTGCGTTCCTTCTTTTTAAGAATGTTCCAAGCAGTTGTTTTGGCCACGCCTGTTTTTGCTATCTTTCTGATGGGTTTGTTTTGTTTTTTCAGCCTAATGACGGGTTGATCACTGATAGTGACAGCTCTTTGGATCTCATCTTGAGAGTTGACAGCAACAGATTCCAAATAGCACACTTGAAATGAACTCTGGACCTTTTATCTGCTCATTGTAATTGGAATAATGAGGGAATAACACACACCTGGCCATGGAACAGCTGAGAAGCCAATTGTCCCATTACTTTTGGTCCCTTAACAAGTGGGAGGCACATATGCAAACTGTTGTAATTCCTACACCGTTCACCTGATTTGGATGTAAATACCCTCAAATTAAAGCTGACAGTCTGCAGTTAAAGCACATCTTGTTCGTTTCATTTCAAATCCATTGTGGTGGTGTATAGAGCCAAAAATGTTAGAATTGTGTCGATGTCCCAATATTTATGGACCTGACTGTATACCACTGGTTCTCATTCAGTGGTACTAGGGGGATACATCTGAGGGAATCTGGACTACTACTCCCAATAAGTTCTTTAACAGTTTAAAAAAGTATAAAATATAATAAAACTTCTATATAAAATGGATATCAATATATAGATTTTCACTAACCACTTCCTGTCCGGCCGCTGTATATAAAATGACGGTGGCAGTACAGGGGCGGGTTGCCGTTCATAAATGGCGCCCGGCGTTTTGGATTGTGCGCACTCCCTGGGAGCGCTCAGCACCACGATCTGGTGCCCGCTGTGTACTCCGGACACAGCAGAACACCGATCACTGTACGGGACCTCTGTGTGAGGTCCCGATCATGTGATCACTGATTGGCCAATCAGTGATCACATGAATAGGTATAAGCAGGATGTCACTTCTGACATCATTGCTTACTACTTGTGAAATCTGTGAATGATCACAGAGATCACATGGTACAAGGCTATTCACAACAGCCTTGTACCATGTGACAAGCTGTGACCAATCACAGCTCACACAGTTTTTCTCAATGGCTGCAAGAATGCAGCCAGAGAGAAGGAGAAATTATTGCTTTTACAGCCTTTATGGGTGTAAAAGCAATCAGTGTAAAAAAAAAAAAATCTTCATCACCCCCCACAAGTAGTACCGTGTCACCATGGTGACACTGTACTGCTAGGGAGACAGTATGTTAAAAAAAAAACATAAATAATAATATAAAAAAATAAAATAAAAATGTTTTAAAATTATAATTTTTAGTTATAAACTAATGTGGGTTATTTTTTTTACTAAAAAGATATCTGAACAAAATTTTGGCCAAGATTTATAAAGAAAGACTTTTTATTTGAAAAATTTTATAAGAAAAACACTTTT